ATAACAACATCGATGGCAAGTATATAATTTTATAATTAAGGGGAGGATTTGAGATCGATACATTGATGTATTTTTGAACGTTTATTCGTAGTATTTTTCATATAAAACGATGTTACAATTCTCAATAGTCCCCTTCCGGTGAACACAGAGGGAATTATTAGCTATAACTTTATTTCTCGTCTGTTTGTTTGTCCCGCTGAACGTTTGCAGATATTTGGCTGATTTTGATTTGTTAATGCATCTTTACGAGGTACAGATCCAGCTTGAACTTCGTTCAATTTTGACAATTCTTGACAGAATTACGGCACTTTCAGTTTTTCATAAAACACTTGCTTATCAATACTCTGAGAATGCTTGTCAATATTTGCAATTGAAAGATATAACTATAGGCATTATTTAGTTTGCTCTTTGTATATTACAGATTTTGGAACCTGAAATTTTATTATAAATCGTTCAAAGTATTAAATAAATCATATTTACAAACTTTGAACATAATGTGATGTTAAAAAAAGTAGATATGACAGAAGACATTTTTTTTCGAGCAACCTTCATAGTGTTACATATTGATAATATATCTTTATTTTATGGCAAGTTAAACTTAAAATCATAAATCAAAAGATTCAGGAATAATTACGTCTTCAAATACGTCTACGTATTTGAAGACGTAATTTTTCCTGAAGGCTAGTCATTATAATTACATGTACTTATACTACATGATATATTTTACTCTACAATGAGCACGCCTGAGTCCGATAAAAGGAAGACATTTTTTTACATTAAATGCGAGTCATCAGTCTTTAGGCCTGTTTCCATGCACCCAAAAGTACTTGCTGTATCTTGGCAGTTTTTGATCGGTTGGGCTTTCCTTTACATCTGTCCTAGAGAGAAGGTATAGCCTCGACATCCTCCAGAAATAAGGACATGTACTTAGTTCCTCCGAGATCAGAACATAGAGCATGTTTAGTTGAATCACTCTTAAGAAATGTACATAAATTATTGTCTTCATGGAGCTCAAAGGTGGCAAAATATCCTCTTTAATTTTCATTTTCATAGAATTTTAATTATACATGTACTTTCCTAATACTAAGTTGTTTTTTTTTTTCAAAATACCCCCCCCCCTCCAAAAGAGAGAAAAAATTCAATCTATGTAATTTAAAAAGAACGTAATTGTAAAATTATAAAATGAAAATCTTTAATAACATTCAAGAAACATATTTGATACAAAAGTCACTCTTTCAAAGCTTATTTATATGTATATATAACATTTTTGAAAATTCAGATTATGATTAAAAAATGGATTCAATTTTTATTATCTGTTTGAATTTCAGACAAATATGCGGATATGTTCAATTTTTGCATTTTTAAAATAATTGATCAGATATTCCTTTTTTCACTCATTTTTCAAAACATAGGATGACCTTTAAATATGAAGCATTTTTACTGTCATATATTTCCTTAAAACAGTGAACTACCCCAAAATGATGTATATCAAAATTTGCTTTACTGTTAACTTCCAAATATTTTTCATGAAATTCCACAACCAAGATAATCCCAACACTATTCAAAAGTGTAAGATCGAAACATCTTTTTGTAATTTCTAGTAATATATCTTTAATGATGTGTCAACTATACAACTATACATTTAACAATAAACTTATGTTTGTTTTTTCTTTTGTTTTGAACATACCGTGTATTTTATTGTATATTTTATTCACATATTTTATTGTATAATTTATACAAGGGGATTGGTTACAAGTTCTTGCAACCTTTCTCTGTAATATATACAATAATTATAATTAGTGATTGCCAAAAGAATTATTAACAATTGTAGGTGTAAAATTATACATATACATGATGTATCATAAATTATGATACAAAATATTTCAAAGACACTTACTTAAGATCCAGAGTTCTTCCAATGTATAAATCTATAATGTTCAATGTAAATGATTACAATCACAACAATGCTTGCATGGTTAAGGAAAATATGAAAATAATGATCTTGGCCGTTAATATTTTTACATGCAAAAAAGAAATGGTATACATCTTCAATTTGTCAACAGGAATAATTAAGATCCATTCTCTGTAATGATTTGAAATTTTATATAGGAGCTGTGGCACGCATAGTCTCAAAATTTCTCCAAGCTCTCTATGATGAAAGTCATTGATACCCTAAACTGAAATCAGGCAAAAATTGGTTGCTATGTTTCATAGTTACCATGGCAACATGTCTTAAAGTTCGAAAAATGGCATTTTTTAACATGTTTAGAGCCCCATAATTAACATTTGCGGCAAAGCAAACAATTGGCAATGACTGTTTCCAAAAGTTGAAGGTCAGATGTCTCAAAAACATGATAAACATGTTTGGTAAATCAACTATTACATACATTACTATGGTAACAAAGTATTCAAAAGTTAAAAAAATATTCATTGAATTTCATAAAGTCATACACATAAAAATAAAACGCAATTATAGGACGAATTGTGACCAAATAATAGAAAAAAGAGCCTTGAAACATATACCAAGAACAAAATATGATGTGGGCAATAGTTGCCAAGGTTTAATTTTTATACTACAGAGAGCCTTCATAACTGATGATCAATTTTTAAAGATGTTAGTGTGCTCCTAGTTTTCCCATTTGAAAAAAAATCAGAAAAGATTCTTTAAATAGAGCGTTGCTATGGAGATAAGCAGAAAATATATGCTTAAAACTCTGAAAGATATTTTCTTTCCTTGGATACGTACCCTTAAATGTAGATTCCCAAATCTTTTATGATTGATATTTATTAACAGCTAACCTGACTTTTAGTTTTGACTATCATCCAATCTTTAAGTGGATGCAAGAAGTTGGCACACAGGGTTTAATATTGATATATAGTTCAAATAATCGAACATTTTCCTTTCTTGGTTACCATAGCAACAGTTTTGTTTTCTTCATCAACTTTTATCAATATATGATATTCAAATTCAGTTCTAACAGATAAGTACTATTCAAGCTGATTCCTTTAATTTGTTTCTTGATTATATGGCAATTTAATTCTTAATGCAGCGAAAAATAATTCACTTTTAAACACTGGTATTTTTTTCCATGGTTACACTGCAAAGTAGCAATTATACCCAATTTTTTATGGTTTTGGTGTTGCAAGGTCCTAAGGATGCCACTTTTGAATTTTCATGATTTTCCTCAAGAGAGTAGCATTAACCCAATCTAAGTTACTGGTTTTGCATAGTTACACTGTGTTACCATGGCAACCATAAAAGTCATTTATAGAATAATATTGCTTATACTTATATACTGAAGGTCAAACATTTTCATTGTTTTTCTTAAGTCATTGATTGAGTTTTAGCATGTAACACCTACCATTTGTGAATATGGAGTGATTGTCAGCATATTTCAGCATTTTAAATGTATTCCAAATGTACCCTTGGTAACCACTTACTTAGAGATATATTCTAAACAGTTTCTTTACAGTATAAGTGACATCAAGGTGTCATGTTTTTGCTAGAATGGTTTGTTGGCTTTTTCTAGTTTTTATTAAGCCACAGTCAAGATTTAAAGTGGCTGAAAATCTCGATTTTTCAAACATTTCCGGCTGTTGGCATAGCAACCGAGACACTTAGCAACGAACTTTTGTTTGATATTTGTTTCTGGTGTCAAGTACAAAGCATGGGTGAAGTTTCATCAAAATCGGTGACCATGCGTGGCAACAAATTTTAAGTGGTTACAGAGAATGGCTATTAATTAGGAGAGTCAATTATATTTTTTCAATAAAGATCATTATTAAGTAAACTACTGTGCCTTAATTTTGTGTGAATTATATTTAAATAGTTCCCCTATAAAAATACAAAGGCGACTTTGTAGGGTGTGAGCGTATTCTAAACTTATTAGCGTACAGGTGCCACTCATCTCAGAACCAGTAGGGAGGGATCTCTGGTTATGAAAAGGTCATGAATTCACATCCTTGATAATTATCAAAAGTACAAACAGCGGGTGGTGAAGGTGAAGAGTTTGTGCTTTACTAACTCGTGTGATTATTCTTAAAGGTAGTACAGAAAATAATTTTGATGCAATCGGCGTGTCATATTTTGTTTGGCTAAAATTTTAAAATTGTTATAACCGGTAAACTTTCTAAATTGTAGCCCTTCAACGATAAGAGGTGGTGTCTAAATATGAGTGAACATTTTTCTGAGGGATGTTAAACAAAAAGAAAACCCCAAACAATTGGGGCACTGTATTAATAACCGTCTCTCTTATCTCTTCCTTAGCTGCGCAATGTTGGTTTTTACACGGATGTAAGTACTTAGCAATGAACACTTGTCATTTCCATGCAGTGGTGATTATATCAACCTGTGATCAAGTCTCCGATGAGTATTCACAAGATACGTCCACTTGTTTATAGATTTAATCATGATTACGGTATATATACCTTAAGGTTTCTTTACCGAAGGAATAAAATGAACATATATGTGAAACATATACGTTTTTGTAAACAGGACACGAGCTCTGTTATTTTGTTAATGTTTGCTTATGGGTGCTGAAGGAGAAGAGTTTGTTTTGTTGTTAATTCTCCTGTATATCACATTTTTTTATCATATAGGCCTATGTTTACTTATTTTCAACTTTTAAAATATATTTTTGCTATATGATTTATAAGTAATGTGTCAATAGTTTTTTTTTTCAATAGAATGTTGTTTAACTATAGTTGCATTGTAAAATTCAAATTCATTATACAAATTAATTATGATGCGAAATTTTAGGAAATTTGAAATGTCCAGACAAATGTTAACTCAAAAGATGACTCTATCTGAATACTGAGTATATACCTTCCCGTTCTATGGTTGGTGTGGAAAACAAATTACGAAATAAATGTTAATTATCGGTTTTCCTGATTGAATGCCCTATAGGCAAGTACAAGTGCTAAATTTAGAACTTAAAAGTACCCATTAGAGTGTACCTCACATAAACATCAGTTTTATAGTAGGTGTGCAGTAGTACATCTACTCGCTTGTTTTGTAGATTGAGTACAAAACCTTTCTGCCAATTGAACGGTAATAACATGGCCTCCACGAGTAGTCCATACAACTCAACAGAAGAGACAACGAATGCCAGCAGGGCTTGTCGTCTTCTCCTTGGACCCTGTACCGATCAACTGAGAGATGTTCTTCGCAAAAAGGTTCCACCTTCCACATTTGCCGCGGAAATTATAAAACCCAATCATAATCTACCGAGATTAACTCCACAACAGAGAGATTTAATTTTGCCAAGGAATGGGTCTTACTTTGGAAATTATGATGATTTTGATATTTCACTGTTGTACATTCTTTTACGGAACATATGTAACATTACACCACATAAAAATGGGTGGGGAAATGTCCCAGATATAAATGATGTATGCCTTTCTGCAAATATCGAAAGGGTACGAGTGGCCCGAAATAGCACTGTGCACTCTGCACGTCCCTCCCTCGCCAACTCTGAATTTAACGATATTTGGACGTCAGTTCGAGTTGCAGTAGTAGAAATCGATACATTTCTTTCAAATGGAAATTTTTATAAGAAGGAAGTTGACATTTTGAGACACACAACAATGGATCCTGTCCAAGACAAGCATTACCGAGATCAACTAGCCAAACAATATGCCGAGGATCAAACTACTAAAGAATGCATCCGCACACTTCGTGGTATACTTATTTTTTAACAAATAATCAAATATTGATTTGATATAAATATTGAAATAATATGCAAAGATAAACTTTAAATATACGTTTAACATTAAAAGAGCTGCATGTATGATTCACGGAATTCAAATAAACAAAAATAACTATCTAAAGGCTGACTTCGATCATGAGGACTTGAGTAAATGTTCTTGAACTAGAGTAACATCGAACCCGATATAGTTTAACTGGAGTGACGTTATTTATCTACCATAGTTCTACCAACGGAAACATGAGGGTAGGACTATGGCAGAAACATTTCGTCACTCCAGTTAAATTATATCGGGTTAGATTTTACTCTAGTTCAACAATAGTCAATAGTAACTCAAGTTCATGATTGAAGTCAGCCACAGTATCTTTTACGCATCAAACATCATTCACTACTATATTGTTGATTGAAAAGAAAAAGAAAATTTTTCCAGATCACTATTTTTTTCCCTAGAAATAACAATGTGGCGATTGTTTTGTAAGAAGTACTGTTAGTCTAATTATCAACTTGTCCACTTGTTGATAAACAAATGTACACCTAAATTAATTACCACTGAAAGATTACCAGGGCTACATGTATTTTATTTTAGAAAACATTGGAAGTAATCAGAAAGAAACAGCAGACAGGATAAATCTCCTCGAGGGTTAGTTGTACATTTTTTTTAAATATTTGTCCTGTTATTGATACACAAATGTACTCCTGAATTACCACTAAATAATAAATAGAGCTACAAGTATTTCATTTTAGAAAACATTGGAAGTAATCAGAAAGAAACAACAGACAGGATAAATCTCTTTGAGGGTCAGTAGTACATTTTTTTAATGTTTGTCCTCTTATTTATATACAAATGTACTCCTTAATTACCAGTAAAGGATTACTAGAGGTACATATATTTCATTTTTAGAAAACATTGGATGTAATCGGAAAGAAACAGCAAACAGGTTGAGTCTCCTCGAGGGTTAGTTGTACATTATTTTCAAATGTCATGAAACAGGTATAAGGCACATTTTGCTAGATGAAGAAAAACTTCAAAAATGATTGCAGGCAAGGTAAAAATGAAATGAACATTTAAGTCTCTATGCATACATTCAAATATAAAATAACATAGCTGGTATAATTTTTTATTAATTTTTTTTGCTGCTTCATAATTACAGGGAAAAGTTGCTTCAAGTTATTTTATTTTTTTTCATCATTTTCATTCATTCGTTCATTCGTTCTTTATTTCCTCCATTCGGAGATTTCAGTTACAACACATCAATTATAACATATATACATGTACATCAATGACAATGAAAAAAAAAACATATATATATATATATATATATATATTAAGTTTATATACAATTAGTTTGTATACGCTGCATGAACACCCCCCACTACCTCATGTTTGAGTTTCATACACATTGTCGTTGTAAGTAGCAATACAAGAAACTATGAATGAAAAACATCTTAACATAAACTTCTTTTTATCTAAAACTTGGTCATGTGTACCCCTTAGAACATACAAGTAAAAATCGTATTCATTTAAACTGATAAAATCTGAGTAGACATTACTGTATTCTTCTGATAATTCAAACATAAATTCAGATCTTTCATTCGATGTTATAGAACGCGACGCTATGGCATGTTGGAAACTGTTTGTAAAGGGATTCGAGCAGATTATGCACTGGTATACGTCCTTTTTCGGTACTAGAGTCCACAGATTTGCAATGAAATTAACAACTTGCATTTCTTTTGTTGAAAGTGGATATGTCCAGAGTGAAGCCAAATGCACAGATGTATGAAGAAATTTGAAGTCCGTGAAATCTGAATCGGAGTAAATTAAATTTTTCCATGTAGAATTGTGGTGGGAGTTAATAGCCTGTTTTACGATATTCTTCCAAATATTTTTGGACGGAAAACTGGTATTGCTAATGTATGTATGAAGAAATCTTTCTAAGGAGTATTTCTGGATAATAGGGATCAGATCTTTGACAAAACCGAATTTGGATGGTTGGTTATGGTTAAGATACTCGAACATTCGTAAAGTAAAGACTTGTTTCGGAAGGAGATTACTATCCATGCAGCAGAGCTTTCCAAAGAAATATAGTTTTCTTTTGTCAATTTCAGCTTGAATTGGTTGTAATCCGAGCATACTTTCGCAAACACCCGTTCTTGTGGATTTGTGGAAATTTTGTATGTCTTTGACTATAAAATGTTGAAATCTATTCAGCATGTTCCAATCTTTTAGTTTTAAGTTGTTCCATAACTCACAGCCAAATAATACTGAAGGTAATACGACTTTCTTATAAATACTAACTAACGTTCTGGGATGAGGCTTCTTAAGCATATTTGCTTTTAATCCAAAGTAGGATTTCCTTCCTTTTTCACAAGAGCGGATTGTGTTCCTTCTGTTGTACGCGGATTGTGTTCGGTCTGTTGTACGCCAAGATGGATGTAATTCGTCGAAATTGGTATGACCTTGTCGCCAACATGCCATGCGTAATTACTAAATACTTTTTTGTTATTGACTCTAAATATTACAACATTTGATTTTTCAGCACTAAACTTGAAACGCCATTTACGCGAATACTCATAGGCAACATTAAGTAACATTTGGAGACCTGCAGGAGTCAAACTTAACAAAGCTATGTCATCTGCAAGACTTGGGTTTGAAATTTTGGTGTTTAAAATACCCATATTTTTACTAACATTATAAAGTTCAATGAGCAGGTCATTTATAAAAACTGAATACAAAAAACCTGATAAAACTCCCCCTTGCCCTACACCTTGTTCTACATTAAACCATTTTGACATGCACCCATTAACAACAATAGCACTATGTGTATCTATATGGCAATCATCAATAATAGACCATAATTTGCCAATTATCCCCATTTTATTCAACTTAACCATCAAACCTTGTCTCCATACGGAGTCAAAAGCTTTGGTACTGTCTAAAAATGCAGAATATACATTGCTTTTGTTTTCTATATTGTAGTATATGGTTTCTTGCAATACATTTTGTATTAAATGTATGTTTGAATAAGTTTTAACTTGATGCTTTATATTTTTATTCAAGGTTGCTCAATAATGCACCATAAAAGAAAAAAAAGGCATAGTTTTACGGTGCTTCCGCTACTTTGATTTTTACTTACAAACTTACATAAAGAAGGAATATTTTTTGAAATACGTACCTGCCAAGATATCTGTTTTTTGTAAAATTATTTTATCTAGACGATTTAGCCTTAATTTGAAGAGGGTATTGTTTTTCTTTAAATTTAGAAGCCTGTTCCTAGTTCCCATTGTGCGCACAAATTGTTTAATAAAATGTTATGATATCGACCATTTATTATGCTCAAAGGTTCAATAAAAGCAATTCAAATTGTGAGCAGAGAAATTCAAACTTCTGAGAGTATCGCAATCATTGTGTTTACAATGTATATTCATATTCTCTTTTCTTTTCATGCATTCCAGTATCCGCTCAAAGCGATGAAGAAAATGTATTGTATTCTACTACTATATAGACAAGCAAAAGCAAAAACATGAGCTTGAAAACTTAACATGCAATTATTTGAGAGATTGCCAGGTCTTCAGCAATGCTCATAGAAATAAAGGGAATTGTTTGTTATGTAATTCGTGATGATTACTAAGAACTAAAATTATGTTTCTTTTTTGTTTTCTGCAGAGACTCAAACAACATTAAAGACCAGATTACACATATCTTACCAACAACAGAAGCAATTTCAAAATTATTTAGAAGATTTACAGAGGCACAAATCAACTTGCATACCGGAAAACGTCAGAGGTAATTTATTTCTTAAACGGGTTAGTTTGCACACGAGTTTCATGGGCAACAACGCTCAATCAATATAGCTTAACAGTAGTTCTGTTTTTACACGCCTGAGCCGAAGGCTCAAGGGAGTTTTTCTGATTAAAATTTGTCCATTTTCGTCGTTGGGGTTACCATCCTTGTCGTCGCTGTAAACTTTTACAATTTAATCTTTAATTTAATCTTTAATCAGGACAAATGTGCCAGTTTCAACCAAATATTGCATAGAGTATACTTGGGTAAAGCGGATTAATTTTTTTTTAATAAAGGACCAAACCCTACTCCAAGGGAAGATAATTATGTAAAGCAAAAAATGGCATCATTAAAAAAAACTCCTTTTAAGAACCAATGGACCAGGAAAGATGAAAATCATGTTGAATTATTGTCAGGTAGAGTGGACTCAAGTATGAAATATGTTCAAATTATGACCTACAGGGGTAGAGCGTCCACGACTTTATTTACAGAAGTACGACAAAGTCCCGTTACGAAATTCATTTTTACGAGACTGCAATCTCGGAATGAAGGTCTTCTTTCCCGCATATCATCTTGTAAACTGTTTTCTTCCGTCGAAAATTTTATATATCACTTAAATACTTATAAAAAAACCGGCTCCCTCTACTCTGTTTACAACAATTATGGGTTTCTGTTCGTGTTTTCCGATGTCTACGCAGAATTGTATCACTGCTCTCTCCTCCACCTTTTTCGAAAACGTCCATTTTTGAATAATGCTGATCTTGTCTTAAAAGATTACAGACTTTTTTCAAGTATTTAATTACTTGCCCTAAGTTGATTATAGAGTAGCATGGATGATGCATCTAGTACATGTATGCTTCTTTATACCTATTTTGACTCAGATGCAGTATTATCATAAATATGTTCATAAGAATTACCATGTTTATGTTTTTAAAGCAGATTGATATGATAACCTAACTTTCATGAGGTGTTTCATTTAAGAATGAAAGCTTCCAGACTTATGTTGGAAATGACCTTTCGATTTCGGAAAATTGAGCAAAGGTAAAAGGTTTAAAGATTATTTATTGGGTTAATATTCAGACCAAGCGAGCATGGATGATGCATCTAAGAATTTGTGCTAAAAGATTTTTTTCCATTGATGAATTTGACCTCCATTTTTCATGAAATTAACCAGTTAAGATTTTGGAACAAGTTCTTTCAACACCAAACGTTTATTAATGTTGTATTTAATGTTTTAGAAACCAAGACTGTTTGTTTGTTTGGGAGTTTGTCTTTCTTGTTAATGGCATTTTCTAAGTGTCAGATGCATTATTATTCAATTTTTTTATTCTTTTGAAAATTGCAGATCTTTTCACAGTATTTTAAAGTTTTTCCTTTCTTTTTTGCTGTCTAATATAATATAATAATAAGTCCACATACAAGACCTCTAGGTTAAGTGATTACATTACACGCATATATTGATTGGGAAGAAAAAAATGTTTCTCAGCTGAAGGACAGGTGATACAAACAAAAATAGATGTCTGGATTGGTATATACATTTTTTTTATCTATTTTGGTGGTAAATAAAAACAATAATAATTTTAAAAATATAAAGAAATTGTATACTTCCTAGGATATTTAATTTTAAAATTTTATCTTTCTGCAACCACTCATATTTCTCTAAACAAATTTCTTTCACTCAAAGGTAGGATTCTTCTCAAACAAAACAATATTTCTTGTATTTAAAAACAAATGAAATTCAAACAGAATCAAAAAGACAATATTAGTAAGTGATGGTATACGTTTTGACCGTTTCATATTAGAATGAAGGTCAGTTCAATATCTTTACCTTTTCCCTGGACATTAAGAATAAAAATGATTGCATCCAATCATGCCATACGGTCTTCTATTTTAAAAGATTAAATGTTTTTCTTTTTGCATAAAAAAATATTACCATATATGATCTATAAGATGATCTTACCAAATGTAAACAAATAGTTTAACAAAAATGGATTTTGGCTAGTCCGAATTTCGTCTTTTTTACTTAAATTTTTAGGATATTTAAGTTATTTTTAAATGCAGACTATATTTAATTTTTTCTTATTTTCACATAGAAGGATATGGAGATAACGAACAGTTTTCAATATCAAAGTTCATAAAACAATACAAAATTGGAGCATGCAGAGCAAACACGGATCCCCGAAAACATCAGAGATGGGATCAGGTGCCATGGAGAAGTGAGCAACTCCTGCTGACCAGTCACACCTGCCATGTGCTCCCCGTCATGATCGGGAAATAACGGAAAAATCCGTCGTCAATTCAGTGAATAAATAATGGACAAACAATAAGAATGAAAAACGTCTGTCAGCATTTGTCTCAATGATAAATTGTATTTGCTGACATTGGTCATTGGAGCGACCATAGAACTTACGAAATGATGACTTTAAACGACACTCTTGATATTATTGTTTTATCAACTTGCTTGCTAATAATTTACTTCGTTTTAGAAATTGCTCATTCGTAGAGCATGCTCTTGCGTATCGAATCAGCTGAGATATATAGACTCCGTATGCAGGTGATGAAGGTATATTGCTGCATAAGTAAGGGAAGTCGAAGATAGAAAAGTTAAAGTCATCATGTTTGTCATATACCTTGGTTGTAAGATTACCATAAGCGTCTTTTTCAAGTAAAATAGTAAGATTACCATAAGCGTCTTTTTCAAGTAAAATATCCAAGTATGAAACAGAGGTATCAGACTCTGTGGTAACTTTTATCTCAAGCTCATCAGGATACGCAGCACAGTTAAGGTTACAGTAAGGAGGCGGGGCCTAATTTTTACGGGAAATGTTTACTATGACGTCACACTTTATATAAGGTCTTCAAAATAACACAAAATGAAATTATTTGCTATTTCAAACAGCTAGATAGCTGTATACTACATACAAACGTACTATTACATGCATTTTTGTCGTTTGTTAAATCTCACACAACAGTATATAAACGATGCATCGATCGCAACGCACTTGTCAATGTGACGTCATCTCGCAAATATGACGCAGTTTGTACTTAGTGAGAGGCTGATCAAGTCACATTTTGTACAATGAAAAATGTGTTTTGTTCTCAAATAAAATATTATTTGCAGTAAAATAAAAAGCGATTAACTTGGATGCGATGTCTATTTTAGTATTTTATTTATAAACTGTACGTGCATTCTCCAGACATGCGTGTGTTTGTATCCAGATTCAAGTAATGGAAGGGCCTTAATAAATCGATTTATTGCAAGGGCATACCCTCAATGTATCTTGTCAAAATTTTACACATAAACTCAAGAAGCATTAAGATATTTGAAAAGTGCTGCGAACCTTTTGAAATCTTGCAAATAAATTAATCATAGAACTATTTAATATAGTTGACCAGCAAAATATTCAACCTGCCGTCCAACAAATTAAATTTTACCGATTAAAAAAGGGTATCTATACAGGTTCGCAGCACTTTTCACAAACTACATATAGTGTTGAAAAGGATTATAAAATAAACTAAGATTTTTAACTTGGTTAAGCCCTTGCAATATTGAAATTTATAGATGACCTCTAAACTGCAAGTATAATTGCCAAAGTCATGTGACGTCGACATCACATGAAAAGTCTAAATAAAAAAATCTAAATGTTCCCAACATGTAGATTTAAACCACATTACAATTTCTTTTATATCAGTGAATTCCTAAAAAGAATCGCCCATCCTAATAAAGTTTGTATTTTTTATCTTAAAAAATTGCCGATATTTCCATTTGTAACCTTAACTGTGCTGCGTATATACATGTAGTATCGACGTAGGAATGGAATTGACCATTGTTAATTGACAATACGTCGACGATATATCTAAATGTCGAGTTGAAGGCCACAGCACGTGTTTTCTTCCTTTCACGCATAATATTTTGCATTTTTCATATGAATTTAAAAATAAGTATGCTAATAACGGAGCGCAATTGGTACCCATTGGAATTCCAATTGATTGTTTGAATACCTGGTTTCCAAAAACCTAATAGATATTGTCAATCAGAAACTCAAGTTTTTATTTATATCAACTTCAGAGTACTTATGTATGCAATCAAAATCTGTTTTAACGAAATAATTTTGCAAATGACCAATGACCAGGTAAGTAAATTTACGAGTTCCATCTTTATATATTGAAGAAGCAGCTGTCGATGATATCAAAAAGGCTGAATTTTAATTTGTCGTAGGGAATTGCTTTGTATAAAGTTGAAAAGTTGCAAGCTTTTAAGCCGTTGATTTTAAAAAAATTCTTGTGATTTCAAATTGTCCAAAAGTTCTTTGGATTTTTTAGTATCCAAATCTTAACCACACCACTTCTTGAATATATTGTTTCACAGTACCCTTGAAGTTTTTCCTTTGCTGCTGTCAATATCTTAGTGAAGAGTAATGAAAAAGGCTTGGTTGAAAATTTACTGGAACCCGCCATGTATATTTGTTTGTAAGGATTTTTATGAAGTGTCGGAATCCTTTATATATATATATATATATATATATATATATATATATATATATATATATATATATATATATATATATATATATATATATATATATATATACGGTAGTTCAAATTCTGGTAAAGAAGTCATACAGCAGTACACAATGATACAAAACAACAAGTTTTTACCGTTTACTAAGAGAGTAAAACACTTTCTGTGGATATTTGGCTCTAAACTATGTACTTAGATTTGAAGCTTTTAAAAGCTAAATTGTAGTGTTTTTGGAAAATCATATTTATTTGATATATTTAAAACTAAGTCCCTTATCATTGATTTAGCTAACATTTAATAAATTCTCTAAGTCTTTGATTGTGTGAAACTTATAACTTAATCCATTGTTCCATAATAATTTTGAGGGGCAGAAAAGAAGATATTTTCATACGCCATCATACAACCAAAAATGTAGTTCCTTCTAGTTTTCGAACACAATTTTTTGTTTAAAATTGTACAATTGTGATGAGGAAAGAAAATATGGCCTTTAAATCTCTTTCACCTAAACATATGACATAAAAGCAAATATACATTGAATATTACATCTAGTCAGAAGCCAGAGAAGAATCCTACCTTTAAATCGAATTATTGTGAAATCAAAACTGAAAATTTTTGCGGTTTACCTTATACATTTTACTTGTATAAACATGGCTTCTGCTAATATTTTCAAGATTTTTGATAAAGGTATGTATCATCTGTCTTAAAGTTAAAATCTAACTTTCCTTATCAATATTTTTTATATGTGAAATGTGCTAAAAGACAGTGTTCTTATATACATGTACATAAAAATGTAAATAGTATATATTAAATGAAATTTGGAGATAACAAACAGTAATCA